ATCACCAATGGATCTCCCAACCTCCTCCCACCACTCACGTGCCCTTTCCTTTAGAAGACAGGACGCAAGCATAACCTTGTCCCCCTCGGGACATCTGCTGGTGCGGAACGCGTTGGCGACATCAGCCAACCACCTTCTGCTAGCAATGGGGTCCCGAGCCCCATGATAGTCGGGAGTTCCACATGCTCTGAACTCCCAGAAGGTAAGTGTGCTCGACCCCATCATGGCCGCTATCTCAGTGCGGAAAGCGCTCAGCTTCTCATCTAGAAGCTCTAAAATACCCTCCTTGACCGATCCAAAGATTACAAGAGTCTGCTCTAGAATGCTGCGTGTAACCTCAGACAAAATAAACTCCCTCGTCTTCTCATCCAACTGCCCGACTCTAGAGCCCGAGCCTGATCCCTCACCATTGCCTGAAGTGCCCACTGGCCTAGTGCGTAGAACCACCATACTGAAATACACTATAACAAACGTCAGTATACTCATCATATCTCGAGGGATCTAACATACTACAAGTTTCCTGGATTCATCTCAGCCTTCCTTGATTCGAGTACGGATCCTCTGCTTTCAGTAGTACGGGCCCATACTACCTTCCACATCTATCCGTACTTTCCTCAAGAACTGCCTCGACTCCACCAAGTCCCTTCTACTACTACTGCTGATATCATACTAAACTTTTCCTAGGCTTGCGCTAGGGTAACCACCAACCCACTCTCCGCTATCAGCTGCATAAGAAGTCCCTGCTACCTCCCCCTAACTAGCTCGTGAATACTATTACATATCACTAAGACTAGATAATTCTTCGAATGAGAGATCGTACCCTACAACGGTTAGACTCAAAAAAGAGTTGCGCAATAGAGCTAGAAGTAACCTTCTGAAATTAGTTAATACTCGCAATATGTAACATAACATATTCACTTACTAGTTAGTAAAAGATAACTAGAACTCCTAAAAGCACAAAGCAAGCAACATTCGCACATAGAGTAAACATAATCAAGCATATCTCTCTCAGGCTATCCCTGACTAATCTGTACTTGCATGTAGTTCATAAAGCTGAGATACATATAACAGGCACATAAGGCATCCTTCCTAGATCCTTAGTCCTAAACTAGCATGCATTTCTCATAAAGCTGATACACATATAATAGGCACATAAGGCATCCTTCCTAGACCCTTAGTCCTAATCTAGCATGCTGTTCTCATAAAGCTGATAATCATAACATAACATAAACTTGTATGGGTAATTTGGGAGTACTTACTTGAGCTCGACTGATTGCATGCACCACACCCTTTTATCTCTTTCAAAGTTCTTTTCTCTTTTCAAAATTCTTTTTTTTTTCTCAAAGTTCTTTTTATAAAAACGATTTTCTTTTGAAAATTTTCATACCAATTCCTTAGTTTGAGTTCAGACACACCCAAGAGCGTTCCTGAATCCTTCAAACCAAGGCTCTGATACCAACTTGAAACATCCCAAAAATACAGACCAAAAATTTCTTTTTAAAATCATTTATAATAAAACCATAAGTCATCCATCATCATAAAGAAAACCATAAATCGTGTATCTCAAAACATTGTGTCAAAATACTGTATCGAAATCATATAAAAATATCAGAGTCTAAACATCCCAGGCTGAAGCTGTGGTGTGTGCCATGCGATCATCCCGAGCCCTTCCCCTTGCTAGTGGAAGTACCTGAAACCAAAACTAAAAACTGTAAGCACAAAGCTTAGTGAGTTCCCAAACTACCACATATCATACAAATCATGCAACTAGGAGATACGGGCCCCGTCCACTCTCATGGAGATTTGGGCCTCGCCCACACTCCGTTGTCTAGGAGATTCGGGCCCCGCCCATACTCCACTATCTAGGAGATTCGGGCCCCGCCCACACTCCGCTGTCTGGGAGTTTCGAGCCCCGCCCACACTCCGCTGTCTGGGAGTTTCGGGCCCCGCCCACACTCCGCTGTCTGGGAGATTCGGGCCCCGCCCACACTCTGCTGTCTGGGAGATTCGGGCCTCGCCCACACTCCGCTACTAACATGCATACAAGTATCACACAAACAACAAGTATATCTACCAAACAGTCACATATCTATACTGAAATAATACTATGAGAATCGGGCTCCGCCCACTCTAGGCTGCTACGAGATTCGGGCCCCGCCCACACTCAGCTACTAACATGTCACATATACGGGCCGGCCTTGGTGCCGTAGACCCGTTCCTACTGAGGGAAACTCACCTCGCAAGACTGACTGCTGAAAACTCGAATGGGGAATCCCTGTCTGCTGATTCGGCGACTCTCCGACTATCAATTTCATATTAACACTTAATCAGAATCTGCTAATCCTCCTTAGGGTAAAATGACCATTTTACCCCTGGTCAAAGTCAAGGTCAAGGTCAACTCCCAGTCAACCCAACTCGTCGAGTTATCTCCCAACTCGGCGAGTCCATGAATGCTTGAACTCGTGGTCAACCGAGTCAACTCGTCGAGTCCCTTAAAAGACTCGTCGAGTTCTTGCTGTTATAATAATCAGGACAACTCGCTTCAACTCCTCGAGTCCTTCCCTGGACTCGCCGAGTTCCCCTGTCTGATTGAGCCATCTCAATGGATTAAGCTCCTACCATTCAGATCTATGTTCCAAACTCTATCTACATACTGGAAATACACTCTTAAGGGTAAAGTTTCCAACTTTACCCATCCTTAGTCCTTCCTAATGGGTTTAACCCAAACCCTAACTTCTTTAAGACATAAATCTTGGTCCACAAGCCATAATACCCTAAACTAAGGCACAATATAATAGATCTAGGCTCTTATCATCTGTGGGACACATAAAGTCCCGAGCTTTCCTCCCATGCATGGCCTTTTAGAGCTAAAAAGGCCATGTTCTTGCATATAAGCTTGCATGGGGTCTCCATGGTCATAAAGTTTGCACCTTTATGCCATGGAGCCCTTCCTAGATCCCAGATTTGAGATATCAATCACTTGGGACGTCCCAATCCCAATGGCTAAGGTTCTTGAACCAAATCCTTCATAAAATGAAAACAATTAGATCTAAGAGAAGAAGGATCAAGTTAGGGACTTGATTACCAGAAAATGTAGTAAATGGAGTGTAGTTCCTGGATCCACTTCTTCCCCTTTCAGCATTCTATCTTCTTCTTCTTCTACAAGCTTCAAGAGGCACAAAAACAATCAAAATGGCAAGGAATAGCTCAAAATCACTCAAGGTGGATTAGGGTTCCGAGATTAGGGTTTAGAGGTGATAGAGGCTGGGGTGGAGGCCAAATATGATGTTTAAATAGGGTGCAAACCCTAAAGATTAGGGTTTCATCCTGATGGACCTACTCATCGAGTAAACCATTTAAACCCCACGACCAAGCTGGCATCTACTCGACGAGTTAGGGCTACCAACTCGTCGAGTAGCTCTTATAAAATGAATACTTTAATAGATTAAATACGTACCAGGAACGGGGCGTTACAGTCGGCCTTGGTGCCTTAGACCCATTGGTATGGTGAGAAGACTCACCTCTCGAATGCTGAACTGACAAACTAAGATCAGATATATCCTACGCACTGCTCCTCCTCAACTGCCTATAATCAACATGTGATTAACTTGTCATAATCCCATAAATACCCTCAAAGTCAACCCTGGTCAAAAGCAAGGTCAACAGTCAAGGTCAATAGTCTATGGTGACCTCAACTCGTCGAGTGCATCCTAGCAACTCGTCGAGTTCCTCCCGAGTCTATTCCACTGAATCCCATGTCAACTCGCCGAGTCACCCAAGTGACTCGTCGAGTTCATCAAATATCCAGAAAACTAAAAGTTCATGCAGTCCCAAAACCCTAATCCTTCACTGCACTCATTCCGAATCTAGAAAACGGGTAAACCCTACCCGACTCGTCGAGTCAACTAAGGGACTCGACGAGTTCCTTCAGTCCCTTTTGTGTTCAACCATTTTTCAGTGGGATCTAAGGTCCCAAACTTCAAATCTACCATTCCCTAGTGCAGTTACCACGTAAAGTTGCAAACTTTTACGTGCATGCAAGGCCTCACAAGGCTAAAACATCAAAACTAAGCTCCTTACAAGGTTTTTGTGCATGGAAAGGGTCTAAGCTGGATAAAGTGGGTAACTTTATGTCATTGGGGACCTAGAGAGGTCCAGATCTGGAACCATATCCTTATGATAAGTCCAAAACTGAGTATGACCCCATTTTGCACCAAAAATAGCCATTTACTTCCAAGAAAAGGGATCTAAGCAACTAGAGATCAAGGTAACGACTTTATACCTCAAGATGGCGGCCAATACAGAGTAGATGTCGGATCTACTGCTCCTCTCCTTGTTCCTTCTTCTTCAAGCTCTAAAATCCTTCACAACACACCAAAATTTGCTCACAAAAGCTCTCTCTCTCTCACTCAAGAAGGTGCAAGGTCCAACTAGGGTTTTCTCTGGCTAATAAGGTGGTAAGGGAGGCCACAAGAGGCGGATTATGTTCTTTAAATAGGGTGCAAACCCTAAAAATTAGGGTTTTCCTTTACAACGCCTACTCGTCGAGTCGGGGCCTTCTGACTCGTCGAGTAGGATTGAAAATCCGCGTCCTCATAATAACTTCTACTCGACGAGTTGGAGCTCCCCAACTCTCCGAGTCCATGCACAAAACCCTAAAAATTAGATAAATTAAATAATAACTGGAACAAGTGTTACATTTTCATCCATAAACTTTGGTCTATGTCTTTTCGGAAAATAGATGATATCTTTTCTTCTAAAAAACAAACAACGTGCGATAACGCAAACGTAAATGTCTTTCCCCCCAAGAAACATAAATGCTTAAAAAATTCTATTAAAAAAACAAATAATCTCTTAATTTTTAATAAAAATAGCTAAATGATTATAAATTTTGACTATTTTTTCAAAATTACTCATTTTCTAAAATCTAAATAATTTTATAATAAAAGCCTTAGATTTGTGGAGTACAATTTTGATGGAAGAGACGACTTGCAAAATCAATGGTTAAAAATAGCTCAAGTCCATGGGAGGCTGGTGCAATATAAAGCACAGGAACAAAAACTCTTATCTGGCAACACCACCACTCTCGGAAACCCCTACCCCTCTCTCGAAGCCTCATCTCTCTACCACCAACTGAACCCAAAGCACATTTTTCTCATCCTCCGTCCTAACCACTGCAACTCCTCCTTGCGTATCTTACAGGGAAACTCCAAATTGACTTTGCAGAGTGATCCGTAGCTTCAGTTTCAGGTTTTAACTTGAATTTCAATCAGTTTACATTAGTGAACATGCCTAAAACTCTAATTCGTCACTTCTGCCGCTATACTCGTTATATAAACATGTTATTTATATGAAATTATTCGTTAGTGGATGAAGTACCCAGTGCTTGGTTGCCTAGGGTTTTTGCTAAGAGGAGCTGTTTAGAATGTGGATTTGCTGAGCAAATCGCTCTCACCATACTAATTATCTTTCGGTATTCAGGATCCATAAAGGAATATCCTTTTTCTTCCAATTAAATGTACATATTAGGTGTACTGTCAACAAGATTCCTCAGCTTTTTAGTGAAAGGCAATAGGAAAGTATAGACGTAAGAGTTCTTATTTCTTAGAGTTTAGCGGGTCAATTTAACCTAATTCCGTGATGGGAGCTAAGCTTTATGTTCGTTAACAAGCTCATAACTTTTTATTTCAACTTTTTCTTATTTGTGCTTTTGCAGACGATATATCTAATGGCAATTGTGCCTGGTGGGAGTACATGGGTGGCTAGGTGGGGAGTTCAACCTCAATTAATGTCCAGAGCCTCTTCAACAAGCAAGTCTTTTGTGCATTTGCCTCAGTGAGTGTCTTTATCACAATATCACCTTATTAAGATTATTTGTTTTAACCAATGAATCCTTTTGAATTGGCAAATCTTATGTTTGTTGCTGCATTACTGCAAATGTTGCTCTAGTTATACATGAAATCAAGGAATTTGCAGCTTTTCTTGTTTAATTTCATGTCCAATTGGGCTATGCTTTTCAATAATAGTTGATGTACAGTACTGTAGGTGTCTCCACATGTCTTCAAGAAATCTTAAAAAGTATTCAAGTTTTGGCCTTTCATGCTTCTTTACATTTGCAATCTAGCAAATTCTAAATAGCATGTGGGTGACTGTGGATCTATATCTTAAAATGGCTGGGGAGACAAAAGACAGTTGATTTAGTACAGATTTTGGATAATCTCCCTTGCTATTATAATTTATAAGTACTTAGAAGATATCATAATATTCTGTATTAGGGCTGGGGATACTGTTGCAAGGTTTATCACTTTATCTTTAATGATATGTCTAGCTCTGTTCACTTGGCTAAATGGGTAGTTAGTCATTTCATTCCATGTTAGAGGTTTCATTTGGTGACATATGTCAGAGTAGGATAAGATTTATGGTTCAATATTTTGCGCTGATATGAAATGCTTCTGTGTGGTAATTGGTATATTATATTTATATGTCACGAGAGTATGATATGGTGATAAAACTTGAATGTAGGTTTTATTTTTATAATTTGTAATCTGAATGTTCTTTCATGGTCATAGAAATAATTTGTATGTTGTAGAAGTATATACTTTGATGTGGTGAGAACACCGGATGTCGAGACCAACAAATAATAGAAATCTATGCAAAACTTGACACATAGGAAATAGGTAAACTGATCAAATTGAAAGAGGTGGAGGGGGGAGGTTGTAAATTAGTAAATTACCAACTACAAGCATTTAATAAAGTAAACGATATTTTAGAATTAAAAGGCCTCCCAACATCATGTTTGTTTTCAACTTTGGTTTAAACATATGATAATCAATATCTGTTCTCTTTTCAGGTTCTCAATTAATACAAGAGAGTTGGCATCACCATGTTCTGCCTTCTGTTCACAAGGTTCTTTGCATGCACTATACAATATGCAGTCATTTGGTAAATCTCACCACAGAAGAGGTGGTCGCCTCATTGTTAGAGCTGAAAGTGTAAGTTTAATCTCAAATCATCTTTCTTTTAAATTTTATGTTCTTCCCCTTTTGTTTATTGATTATATTTGTGTATCTATCTTGTACACATAGGATTTTTATTCGGTGCTTGGCGTGTCAAAGAATGCTAGCAAAGCAGAAATAAAAAGTGGTTCGTAAAATTATAAGTTCTTCCCTTTTTTTTAATCCCATAATTAAATTCTCGTTTATATCATTGACTCTATAAATTCATTTTTAGCATATCGGAAGCTTGCAAGGAGTTATCATCCTGATGTAAACAAGTAAGTTCAACTCCTGCTTCCACCTTTACAAGATCTCCTATAATATTTCTTACAATTAACATTTCTATGCTTTTATAAACTCATCTCGTGTGTATCTTCCCAGAGAACCAGGAGCCGAACAAAAATTCAAGGACATCAGCAATGCTTATGAAGTAACCCCCTTAACCTCATATTTTAGTTAATTCACATATGTCACAGGCTACTTTACCCATAATTTTTTTTCAAGAATTTTGATAAAAAAAAGTTGTTTCGCAGGTTTTATCAGACGATGAAAAACGTTCCATATATGATAGATATGGTGAAGCTGGGCTTAAAGGCGCTGGTGTTGGCACCGGGGTGAGTTTCTTCTACCTAAAAAATATTTTATCCACAAGTCCCCTTTTGTTACACAGAACAAAGCACATTGTACTGTGTTTGACATACATCAGTACATTTCAAGTACTGTCCTGTGTCATACCCAAAAATGCAATATACCTAAAAATTACTGTCTTTCCTTTCTTTTACTGTCCTGTGACATACCTAAAAAGGACAGTATATTGTACTCAGTAGTCAGGACAGTACAACATACCTAAAAAGGACAGTATATTGTACTGTCCTTTTCAGTACTGTAAAGTAACTTTTGGGATCTAAATTTTTTTGTATTTTGAAATTGAAATTGGTGAACAGGATTTCAGCAACCCGTTTGACTTGTTCGAATCATTATTCGATGGGTTAGGCGGGATGGGTGGCATGGGCGGCATGGGTGGCGGCAGAAACTCACGCAACCGCGCCACCCAAGGCGAAGACCAAGGTTACAACCTAGTCCTAAACTTCAAAGAAGCCATATTCGGTATCGAAAAAGAAATCGAAGTAACCCGTCTCGAATCCTGCACAACTTGCAACGGGTCGGGTGCAAAACCTGGAACCACCCCGTCAAAATGCAACACATGTGGTGGTCAAGGCCAAGTCATCTCCTCCGCCCGGACCCCACTCGGTGTCTTCCAACAAGTCATGACATGTTCTTCCTGCAACGGCTCCGGCGAAATCTCCACCCCGTGTAACACATGTAATGGTGACGGACGCGTGAGAAAATCCAAACGGATCAGCCTGAAAGTTCCTGCCGGAGTAGATTCCGGCAGCCGGTTGAGAGTCCGGTCGGAGGGGAATGCCGGAAGGAAAGGTGGGCCCGCTGGAGATTTGTTTGTAATGATTGATGTGCTTCCGGATCCGGTGTTGAAACGGGATGATACGAATATACTTTATACGTGTAAGATTACGTATATTGATGCGATATTGGGGACCACAAAGAAGGTGCCCACGGTTGATGGGATGGTGGATTTGAAGATTCCAGCGGGGACTCAGCCGGGGACCACGTTGGTTATGGCGAAAAAAGGGGTCCCGATTTTGAATAAGAGTAATATGAGGGGGGACCAGTTGGTGAGGGTACAAGTGGAAATTCCGAAACGGTTGAGTGGGGAAGAGAGGAAGTTGATTGAAGAGTTGTCGAATCTTAAGAAGGGTAAAGTTCCCAATAGCAGTGGTATATAAAATATATAATGTAGTAGAGGAAATGGGAAACGGTGTATTTGAAAAAAATTTCAGTTGCATGACCTGCACATCGGTTTCTCGTTCACAATCGACCCACGGAAAATGGAAATAGAGGTATTTTTTGGGGTGTAAAATGTAAATTGTGTGACATGAATTTATACATGGTGGTTGTGGAGTAGACAATTAGAGAGGGGTTAATCTTATTATTATAATTTATTGTAGCAAGGATTTTGGATTATGCTCAAGGGATGTAAATTGGTGACTTTTTTTTTTTTCTCGATTGTTGATTCAGTCATGTGTACCAAATCCAAATCCTCATCGTCATAGAACCATTGGTCAAATGGTTTTATGCAAAAAAGTCTATTATTTTGGGAAATTTTTTAATAAAGTCTTAATTTTTTTTTAATAGAAAAGTCTAATTATTTAGGAAAAATCACATAATCTCTTACTTTCTGTTAAAATAAAAAAATATTTTTTTTTGTTAAATAATCATGACTTTTCTGTTAATTTTTTTTTATGACTTTATCAAAAAATTTCCAAAAATAATTAGACTTTTCTACATAAAACCGGGTCCAAAACAACCAAAGGCAAAGACCCATTCAAAAATAGATGGTTATATCATATGGAACATACATGATGATTGATCGTATTACAGCATTTATTTTATTTTGCAAAATTTTTTCTTAGTAGATGCCTGTTGACGATTTGTGATGATGTGTAAAGTTTAAGAAGTGAAGGGTTGTTGGATCAAAATCTGAGCGCCCTCAACAAGTCGGTTTACCACTTGAGCAGCTGGTAAAATCTCATGTATAAGTCCTACGCCTTCACCTGCATACATCACCATGCTTTCAATATCCCCTTTTGTTGTCTTGTTTGGCACTGTACCCGCAAACTGCCTAATCTCTTTCTCCTATAATATACCAAACAACACAAGTGGTCAATTAGTCAACTACTTTACTTTTACTTTTTTACCCATGATAGCAACCTACTTACATTTCCTTTTATTCATAATAGCAATATGTAATCCCTTAGAAAAAAGACACTTACCACGCCATGTATTGTTGTATGGCCAATAACAGGTTGATTAGCCTCATTCTCATGACTCGGTAGATTTCTCCATTCCATGAAAAAAGGTGTTTTAAGTACACGCTGTGGGGCCCCCGGCCACCTGGCACGTCCAAATACATCCGTATACTCTGTTTCATTCATTTCAACTAGCTTCCTTTTGTATATAGGGTGAGCAAAGCTTTCTTCAGTCGCAAGAAACCTAATTAAATAAAATCACTCACTCAACTTTAGTTTTCTTGTATATAAGTCTCAATGTGTTAAGTGTTATATTATGTACCTGGTGCCTAAACAGACACCTTGAGCTCCAAGTGCTAAAGCAGCAACATAGCCTCGTTCATCCACTATTCCACCAGCAGCAATTACCGGAATACCCCTTGAGGAAACCAGATCCACTACACGTGGCACCAATGCAATTGTTGCTTCCTGAAAGTTATTCCATAACCCCTAATAATAATTTTTTTTCTAGAGTTTTTGGTCTATCTATTAATAATAAAAAAGTGTCAAAGATTTATACATGACCAATAACGTGTCCTCCTGCTTCATGTCCTTGAACAATTATAGCATCAACACCTACATCAGCAGCACGCTTGGCTTCTTCAAAGCTGCCAATCTACAAAAAAAGGATTTAAAATTACAGAAAATTTCAATCACCATATGGATATGGATTAATAGATTATGGAGAAGTGGGATTTGAAGCCATGATTTTAATATACAAATATGCTTGATGAAAGTATGTAGGGAAGAGGGTTGACCTGGGGAACAACTTTGACCCCGGCTTCATGGGCTTCAAGGACGATATCTTGTGTGACTTCACCCCAGTAAAGCTGCAAGATTGCAACTTTCTCTTCTAGGATAATTTTTAGGTTCTCTTTGTGAGGGAATGCCAAAACAATCCCGACCCCAAATGGTTTGTCTGTCAAAGTTCTTGTCTTCCTTATAAGCTCCCTCAAGTAATCTGGGCATTCCTGTTATGGAGTTTTGATGTAACTGAGTTAATAATATTTGAGCTGAAAACGAGCTGGAGATGGAGGGAATATATATGTTCGTATCCATAATCTATTTGACATACTAGATCTAGTGTTACAAAAGGTGCCCCAAATTATAGCTATATCATTTAGGGGACTGATGCAATTACGAGATCAAACCACAAGCACAACAAGAAAAAAATCCTAAAAATTAGGGCAGTGGTGGAGATTATTAGAAATCCAACAGATGCACACTGATCGATTGGAGATTCTAATAGTTGATCTTGATCCTCACTAGCTGCTGCATAAATTACCTGGACGCGATAGATAAGCTCTACAGATAGCTAACTAAAATCTGGCTAATCGATCAATGAACATGCATCAGCTTATCCACAGACACAGAGAGGGAGACGGAGAGTTACCCAATCAGGAGCTCGGAGAATACCAATGGCACCGGCATTAGCAACAGCGGCGACAAGCTCCGGACCGGAAATATCAGGTCCTAAAGGTGCCTGCACAATTCCATACTCAAAACCCAGTATTCCTCTCCAACCCATTTCTTACTTCAGTTTGAACTTGAATTTATAATTTGTTTGTATGTAGTAAGGTGGAGTTATTTGTAGGTGGGGGGAAAGAGGAAAACAACATTCATTACATGGCTGCTTACGTAATAATCTTGATTCGCATTCCAATTCCATAGCAAACAAAACCCAATTGAAACACCCCCTCCCGCCCGCCGCCAAAAGTTGTTTAGAACTGGTACAAAGGATCATATGAGTGGATAGATAGAATAAAAATATATCTTTATATTAATCTATATCTATATATAAATATCTATATGTATAAATTTTGTAAAGTAAATCACACAAATTGTTCTCGAGTTTCAGACCAATATGAGTTTTAGACCAACTTGGACGTGTTGTAAGCGGGAGATATTTAAATATTGTTCTCATGTTTTGAGTGTTTATGCAAAATTATCCTTAAATAGTTGGCAATATGTTCATAAATGTTACTCCATTACAGAGTATTGTTCTACATGGGCATTCGGGTTTTCCTCACTTTCTCATGAAGCGTATTAACCAAAATCTTCATCTAGACAATTGCTTCTAAATTTAGAGCTTTTACGGAATAAAAAAGGTCGTCCTTGTTCAACAAGACTACGAAATGGAACGAACATCAAAGAAGGGAAAAATAGGTACCTTTGTGAGATTTGTAGGCAAAATGATCATAATCAGAAAAAATGTCCGTCTAAACCAAGGTAAATGAAGAGATATTAAAACTAATCGGTTCAATAATAGAATATATATATATATATATATATATATATATATATATATATATATATATATATATATATATAGGGTTAGGTTATATTGTTTCTAGTAACTATTGTGTGTCAGAATAGGATAACATATACCATATAATCACACTAATTTCAGCATAAGGGCATTTTAGTCAATTAACCTATATTAAAAAAGAAAATTTTCGGATTTTTAGGGATAATTAATTCTTTTATTTTAAAAAATCTGAATATTTTAAACTAATTCAAATTTAAAAATCCGATTTTATTCTGTCAGAATGATAGAATGCCAACCATAAACTAGTAAATATATTTTTCGATTTTATTCTATCAGAATGATAGAATGCCAACCATAAACTAGTAAATATATTTTTCGATTTTATTCTGTCAGAATGATAGAATGCCAACCATGAACTAGTAAACATATTTTCGATTTTATTCTGTCAGAATGACATAATGCCAATCATAAACTACTAAATACATTCTGAAAGAATACACAAAATCGATTCTTGAACTAATAATATACCAAATAATTACATTGTATGATTGTGATTCATTGAATAATAACAACATTCTGAAAAAATAACAAGTGTAATTCCTAAAAAATAACAACATTCTTAATTACACTGTATGAGTGTGATCATTCTTTAATTCATTCTTCAAGCCTTTCCCATCAGGTCTTCAAGCCATTCTTCAAGTCATTTCTATCACAAATTTATTGCAAAATATTTTGTAGTGATATACTTGTAACAACTGTACATTAAACATATAAACAATTAACTACAATTCTATCAGAATACAACAATAAATATTCTTACAGAATAAACTATTCTTGCAGAATGGTTTTAAATATTCTATCAGAATCGCTATTTTACACCTGTTTATTGTTTTTTACATTCTAAATCCAAACTGAATAACATTCATACTAACATGAAAACAAGCCTTGAGCAAGCTATATTTACAGATTTCAAAAACATATTACAGCCTTATTCTCCAATGGAGAAAGAAAAACACCCCTACATGGCGTGTTTATTAACAGGCTATTCACAAATATCATACAAATCAATCATATGCTACTCTATTCACAACATTCTATATAGAAAAAGAATCAATGAATAATAACAAAGACTTACATGTGCATCAGCAAAAGATATGTCAACATCTTCCCATTGTCGGATGCAATCGTGGGTTTACTTCAAGTTTTCTCTGCTCCTCTCACAAAAAGGTATAAAAGTCTGCATATTTCTCCAATTCAGGCTTTTACTGAGTCAACTTTCTTTTTGTTTCAGATTTACTCATGCCTCAAAGCTCGCGATAATGCTGCTTTGTAAAGGCCTCATATTCACATGCTTTGAATAATGTTTCAAGAATGGAACCCCTTATCGAGTGCACTCATTGTCACTCTCATTCGTTGAGGACTTTTCACAAACACTTTAAAGGCAGAATTTTGAAGACCAAATTCTGAAGGTATACTTACAATATACAAGATCAGCAACAGAAATAAGTTGACAAACATTTTATTATAAAAGATGTGGAATCGGGTTAACTTTATTTGGGAAATTACATCAAGCCTAACATGTTCAAGTTAATTATTGAGTACAAGCTAAAGATGCAAGAAAAATTGAACCTGAGAATTAATAGAAACTTGAAAAGCAAGAAAAATGTTTAGGCACCTGAGAAAAGTCCATGAAGTTCCTATGACTGATATAACCCCAAACCCTAGAAAAGTCCAGAAAGTTCCTATGGCTTCAGTTAATGATAAGAATGATTGAGCAACGATAAGATTTGAAATCCAGTTTGATGTAGCAGCGATTCCACCACAAACACCTCAGAATCTTAATGGGTATATCTCGGAATTGATTATAGTTTTGTTCCTCAAAAGGGTTTTTTGTAGATTTTGAAAAGATTGAATGATTCGTACGAGTTATGGAGTTAAAGAT